ATTAGTACTCAAAAAATCGCTAAAAACATTTGAAATATGGTCTCAACAGACGTGAAATTCTGAGTTATATTGCAATAAATGTATTAAGATTAAAAAATAAGAAAACAATTAACAATTTAACAATTTTTTAATTTTTTTAGCTAACAATTTTTTAATTTTTAAAATTAAAAAAAAATGAAATTTTTAATAATAGTGCAAAAAATGTATGAAAATAAAACAAAAAACAAAAAAATTTTTCAAGTCAGTTTAAAGACGTTTGCACTTTTAAGGGTCTTGGAAATTTCCAAGATTTAAATTTAGAAAAGGGCATAAAACATTGATTTAAATTCGATAAAAATTAAAATTTGAAAAAAATGCAAAAATGCCCAAACATTACTCAAAAGATCGCTAAAAGTATTTGAAATGTGGTCTCAACAGACATAAAATTTTGAATAACATTGCAAAAAATGTATGAAGATAAAAAAATAAAAAAAAATTTTTGCTAATGAAATTTTCACAATTTTTAAAATTGGGTTAAAGTATAATAAAAATGGGCAATATTTTGTGTGATTTGTAAAATGTTCCAGGAAATCGATTAAAGACGAGAAAAAAGCAAGATTAAATTTTAAGGGTCTTAGAAATTCAGAAAAGGGCATTAAACATTGATTTAAATTTGAGAAAAATAAGAAGTTGAAGAAATTGTAAAAATGCCCAATCAGTGCTCAAAAGATCGCTAAAAATATTTGAAATATGGTTTCAACAGACATAAAATTCTGAATAAAATTGCAAAAAATAAATTAAGATAAAAAATTAAAAAAAAAATTAATGAAATTTTCACAATTTATTTTTTAATTTTGCGGCTAAAGTATACAGAAAATGGTCAATATTTTGTGTGATTCGTATGTAAAATGTTCCGGGAAATCGATTGACGTTGAGAAAAATGCAAAATTTCTAATAGTTTATAAATTATAGGCGAGTATGGATTTTGACTATTTGTGTTTTACTTGCAATTTTCTCAATAACTAATTATCACAGAACAGTGATTTTTTTTCATAAGATAGGAAATTAAAAGTGCTTTCCAACAATAGCAAATACAATGGGTTATCAATAATAGTTTCTGAGTTATTAGCCGTTAACTATTCCGGTTATAACCGAATAATAAAAAATCAACAAAAACCCGCACTTTTAAGGTTTCTAGGACTCGAAAAAGTCTATAAAACATTATTAATAAGAAATAAGAAAAAAAAATTGTCAAAAAAATTTCACAATTAATTTTTTCAGGGAAAGTTTCGTCGCAGAAACGCCTTCGTGGGGGGGTGATTTTCGTCCCCGCCATCCCCAAAAACCCCTCCGGCAAGATTTTGCGTCGCGATCTGAGAAAAATGCTGTCTGAATTCAAATCAAAACTGTAATTTTTTGCTTAATAAATAATTTCTATTATTTGCAAATTTTCTTAATTAACCTCGACTCCAGGCCTCAGTTTTGTGACAATGCTCGAAGACAACCGATTCGTAATCAGTGGGCCCCCACCCCTGCAGCCCCTCCCCAAAATCTCCCTCGGGAGGCTCATCCACGACGGCCTTTTGGCCAATTTTCACAAAAAACAGGCCTTGGTATGGGTTTTTTGCCTTAATAATAATTAATTATTTTGCTTTATTACTCGACAAAATGCAATATCATTGACTATAATTGGAAAAAAAAATTATTTTTATTTTCAGGTCGACGTTTCCACAGGCGAGTCAATTTCCCACAAGGAAATTTTCGAAAAATCGTTTTTTTTGGCCTCAACTCTGCTCGAATTCGGTTATGGCCAAAACACAGTTGTGGCAATTTGTAGCGAAAATAATTTACAATTTTATATTCCAATCATTTCGTGTTTTTTTATGGGGGCTGTGGTGGCCCCCATTAACCAAAATTACACCGAAAGTGAGACTCTTCACTCGTTGAAAATTTGCCAACCTGAAGTAGTTTTTTGTTCAAAACAAGTCTCACCGAAATTTATTCAACTCAAAAACCGGTTCAAATACCGAATTGTCATAATTGATGCTGAAGTTGGCGTCAAAGGGGCCGAAACTTTGGGTAGTTTCACCAAAAAAAAAAGTTTGGTTAGGTTCAAGTTGGGGGATTTTGATCCTGAGACTCAAGTGGCGGTCATCATGTGCTCATCGGGGACCACAGGGCTGCCAAAAGGCGTAATGCTCACGCATACCAACCTCATGGTGCGGTATATGCACACCATGTGGGTGAAAACGAAAAAAACCCTAGATCTAGTTTTATTTTTTTTGTTGTAGTGATCCACGTTATGTCACTAAAAGTGGTAATTTCCTCGGGGTTTTGCCCCAATTCCACTGTTACGGTTTAATAACAAACTTTTTCGCCCTTGTTGAGGGCCAAAAAATCATTTTGATGAAGAAATTCTCCGATGAAATTTTCCTTCAAACAATTCAAAATTACCAAATTTCGACTTTGTTTCTTGTCTCTCCTCTGGTTGTTTTGTTAGCGAAGAGCCCCCTTGTTGACAAGTTTGACTTGTCTTGTGTCAAGGATATAGTAGGCGGGGCGGCCCCTCTTAGTAGGGAGACCGAAAAAGCGGTTATAACCCGGTTAAAAATCCCGGCGGTTAGACAAGGTTACGGTTTAACCGAAGCCACACTTTGTGTCCTGATGATGAATGTTGGGGATTCGAAACCGGGTTCGTGTGGTAAAGTCGTCTCTTATGTGAGTTGCAAAGTCCGGGATCCGGGAACCGGAAAGTCGCTCGGACCCGGAAACGTGGGAGAGTTGTGTTTTAAAGGGCCGTTGGTAATGATGGGTTACTACCATAATGAGGAAGCGACCAGAAATGCGTTTACCAGCGATGGGTGGCTTTTGACCGGAGATTTGGGTTATTATGACCATGATGGGTATTTTTTTATCGTTGATCGGTTGAAGGAATTGATCNCGTTTACCAGCGATGGGTGGCTTTTGACCGGAGATTTGGGTTATTATGACCATGATGGGTATTTTTTTATCGTTGATCGGTTGAAGGAATTGATCAAGTATAAGGGTTTTCAGGTCGGTTTAAGGTCACACTTTTGGTGTCAAAAATTCGTAATTTTGCTTKTAGGTGGCGCCAGCTGAACTCGAAGCTGTCATTTTGAGTAATCCGAAAGTGCAAGATGTGGGGGTTGTGGGACTCCCCGATGAGAGTTGRGGGGAATTACCGGTGGCGTTTGTTGTCAAAAAACCAGGGTCGGATTTGACTGAAAAGGAAGTCATCGATTTTGTTGCAGGTATGATTTTTTTTTTGATATTGAGTATTTCCGGTCGATGTTTTTTTTTATAAAATTGGAAATTAAAAGTGCTRTCGAACGGTACCAAACTTGAAGGGTTAGACCACTAGTTTCGGAGTTATGGYCCAATAACCGATCCGGTTATAACCAAATAAAAAATCAAAATTTTTTAAATTTTACCAAAAATTGACACAATACGTGAAATTAACCGGGGAATTTGCCTATACAAACTGTTTTGWGCTAGGACTTGTAGTTTTCGAATTATAAWTTTTTTTAATGTAAAAGTAAAAATGACTCTGGACCCGGAATCGTAACTCGTAGCGACTCCGGGTTTGCGGCATTCAATACATAATTTAAAGCATATTTTTATGTTGTTTTAATTTTTGTTATAACTCTTATATTTTCTGAGATAAACGCACTTAAAATTTTACTATTTTTTCAATTTTTACTTTTTACACGCCAATTAGGGCAAAAGTAGAGGATTTAGAGCAAAAAACTTGACYGATTCGAAATCAGCGTTTTAGAATCTATACGATAGCATAGGTTTTTAACCGAATTCCTGACATGTATAAAAATTCCCAGGATCTTTTTATTTTTTTTTTTATTTTGTAAATTGCGGTGAAAGTATTTTGAAAATGGTTAAAATTTTGTATTATTTGCATGTAAAACGTTTCGGGGAATRGATTGACGTCGAAAAAACCGCAAAATTCCTAATAGTTTAGAAGTTGTAGTCGAGTATAGATTTTGTCAATTTTTGATTTTACTAGCGATTTTTTCAATAACTATTTATCCCAGAACAATGATCTTTTTTTCATAAGATAGGAAATGAAAAGTGCTTTTCAACGGTGCTAAACAGTAAGGGTTACGGTTAATAGTTTCGGAGTTATCGGCTGTAAACCGTTTCGGTTATAACCTATTGACAAATTATAGCCAAAAATCGTAAAAATGGTAAACTTAGAAGTCAGTTCAAAGACGTTTTTTGCACTTTTAAGGGTCTTAGAAACTCAAAAAAGGGCATAAAATAATGATTTATGAGAAAAATTTGAAAAAAAATGAGAAGTTGAAAAAATTGCAAAATGCCCTATTAGTACTCAAAAAATCGCTAAAAACATTTGAAATATGGTCTCAACAGACGTGAATTTCTGAATTATATTGCAATAAATGTATTAAGATTAAAAAATAAGAAAAAATATTTTTAGTTAACAATTTATTTTGAAGATAAAAAAAACTAGGAAAAAAATTTTTTGTTAATGAAATTTTCACAATTTTTAAAATTGGGCTAAAGTATAATAAAAATGGGCAATATTTTGTGTGATACGTATGTAAAATGTTCCGGGAAATCAATTGACGTCGAAAAAAATGCAATATTCCTAATAGTTTGTAAGTTATAGGCGAGTATTTTGACTATTTTTGTCTTTACTTGCGATTTTCTCAATACCTATTTATCACAGAACAACGATCTTTTTTTTATAAGATAGGGAATTAAAAGTGCTTTCCAACAATAGGAAATACAATGGGGTTATTAATAATAGTTTCTGAGTTATAAGCCGTTAACTATTCCGGTTATAACCGAATCATAAAAAATTAACAAAAACCAGCACTTTTAACGTTTCTAGGATTCGAAAAAGTGTATAAAACACTATTATTAAGAAATAAGAAATAAAAGTATAAAAAAAAATTCACAATTAATTTTTTCAGGGAAAGTTTCGTCGCAGAAACGCCTTCGAGGAGGAGTGATTTTCGTCCCCGCCATCCCCAAAAACCCATCCGGCAAGATTTTGAGACGAGAATTGAGAAATTCTCTCATTAATCGTCTTGCAAAATTGTGATTTTTTTCTGGTTTTGATTTGGGTTCAGGTTTTGAATAAAAATAAAGTGTGTCAAATCTGTCGAGTCATTATTTATTTATTTTTATTCTCTTGTTTRCACTTTCTCGACTTATCACAAGTCTGGTAATACACACAAATCCCCCCTTTTGTGTAAAGTTCATGTCTGTACAGTGTTGCCAGATTTGGCAAAATTTCACCAAATCTGGTGAAAACTTTAAAAAAATTCTAATTGTAGTTTTTCAAAAAATGACATGTTGCGTCTTTTTTAGCATTCTCCACGTTTTTTGATTAATTCGACAAATTTTTTGAAAAAAAATCACGAAACCAATTTGGTTCCAATTAGTTCTATGAACACAATTATTTTGCAGAATTTTGTTAAAAATGTCCAAAAATTCAACAAAATAAATTGTTTTTGCCTTTTTTGCGTGTTTAAGCACGTTTTTGGGTTAAAAACAAAAAATTTCGAAAAATCTAGTGCCTAAAAAATTTTAAAATTAAATCAAAATTCATATTAATTTACTTGTTAAGCTAAAATGCCGCTTTTACATACAATTATCATTATTTTTACATATATAAAACTTTTTAAAAATTCTAATTGTAGTTTTTCAAAAAAAACACATTGCGTTTTTTTTAGCATTCTCCATGTTTTTTGATTAATTCGACAAATTTTCTGAAAAAAAAAAATTCTTCAATCTCAATTTTAGGCTGAAATAAAGCAATTTGTGATATTTTGAATTGATTTAGCCCAATTTTAAGCCGGAAATTAACATGAATTAAAGTATTTTAACAAACTAATGACTTGAATAAAAGTTTTCTTCAAAAATAAAGCAATTTGAGCTATTTTTAATTTAATTTTTTTCGATTTTAATACAGAATTAATTCGAAATTAAATTATTTTATAAAAATAATTGCTTCAATCCCAATTTTAGTCTAAAATAAAGCAATTTGTGATATTTTCAAGCGGTTTGGCTTAATTTTAAGCCGGAAATTAACCTGAAAAAAATCACAAAATTACCAATTTCCTTCCAATTAGTTCTATGAACACAGAATTTTGTTAAAAAAAAATATATAACAAATTAGTTTGTTTTTGCCTTTTTCGCGTGTTTAAGCAAGATTTTTGGGTTAAAAACAAAAAATTTCGAAAAATCTAGTGCCTAAAAAAATTCAAAATTAAATCAAAATTGATATTAATTTACTTGTTAATCTAAAATCCCGATTTTATATACAATTACCATTATTTTTACACATATAACACTTTTTAAAAATTCTAATTGAAATTTTTTAAAATTTGACATGTTGCGTTTTTTCAGCATTCTCCACTTTTTTTGATTAATTCAAAAAAATGCAGAATTAATTCGAAATTAAATTATTTTATAAAAATAATTGCTTCAATCCCAATTTTAGGCTAAAATAAAGCAATTTGTGATATTTTTAAGAGGTTTGGTTTAATTTGGAAATCACCTGAAAAAAATCACAAAACCACCAATTTGGTTCCAATTATTTCGTAGAATTTTGTTAAAAATATACACAAATTCATCAAAATAAGCCAAAAACGCTGTTGTTTTTGCCCTTTTCGCGTGTTTAAGCACGTTTTTGGGTTAAAAACAAGAAAATTCGAAAAATCTAGTGCCTAAAAAATTTCAAAATTAAATCAAAATTGATATTATGTAATTTACTTGTTAAGCTAAAATCCCGCTTTTACATACAATTATTATTTTTACATATATAAAACTTTGAAAAAATTCTAATTGTAGTTTTTCAAAAATGACATGTTGCGTCTTTTTCAGCATTCTTCACCTTTTTTGACTAATTCGACAAATTTTCTGAAAAAAAAATTCTTCAATCTCAATTTTAAGCTGAAATAAAGCAATTTGTGATATTTTGAATTAATTTGACTCAATTTTAAGCCGGAAATCAACCTGAATTAAAGTATTTCAACAAACTAATGGCTTGAATAAAAGTTTTCTTCAAAAATATAGCAATTTGAGCTTTTTTCAATTTAATTTTTCGATTTTAATACAGAATTAATTTATTTTATAAAATAATTACCTGACCTGACCTGACTTGACCTGAATCAAAGTATTTCAACCAAATACTGGTTTGAATAAGAATTTTTTTTCCAAAATAGAGCAATTTTAGTTATTTTCAATTCAATTTTTCTAGATTTTAATATAGAATTAATTCGAAATTAAATTATTTTATAAAAATAATTGCTTCAATCCCAATTTTAGGCTAAAATAAAGCAATTTGTGATATTTTCAAGAGGTTTGGCTTAATTTTGAAAATCAACCTGAAAAAAATCACACAATTTGGTTCCAATTATTTCGTAGAATTTTGTTAAAAATATCCAAAAATTCAACAAAATAAGCCAAAAACGCTGTTGTTTTTGCCCTTTTCGCGGGTTAAGCACGTTTTTGGGTTAAAAACAAAAAAATTCGAAAAATCTGTTGCCTAAAAATTTTCAAAATTAAATCAAAATTGATTTTATTTTTGCTCTTGCTTTTATACATAATTATCATTATTTTTACATACTTATAATTAAAAAAAAACTCGAACTTGGCTCGTTTTAAAATTTTTTTTTAATTTAATTGTAGCTGTTGTAGCTTGATCTAGTGAATTTTATTTTTTGTGTTGGCAACACTGGATTATAGTCTCACACTCTACAACAGCTATTAGTAGTCCACCTTTCGAGTGCAATGCTCGAAGACAACACTTTTGTAGTGRCAGGGTTGCCRCCTGTGGCCCCAATCCCCAGCCCCCCAGTGGGGRGCCTCCTCTACGAGCAACTTCTCGTCAATTGTGGCCAAAATCCGGATAGTCCGGCTCTGGTAGGTCAAAAATCCCGCCTCCTTGACCCTGATTCAGTTATTTAGATTGACGCAATCTCCGGGAAAACACTAACATACAAACAACTCCTCGCCAAGACTTGCACACTTGCTGAAATTTTGCGAAATTCAGGTTTCCTGAAAAACACAAAAATTGCGATTTGTTGCGAAAATTCGATTGATTTTTTTACTCCAATAATCGCAGCTTTGTGTTGGGGCACGCTTTGGGGGTGGTAGAACCCCAAATTGTCTTTTGTTCGAAAACAACACGAAAAAAATTTGAYAAAATGCAAATGAGGATTTTTTTGATTGAGAATTTGGCCGAAAATGCACTGTTTTGGTGCAATTTGGAGGATGTGGGGGATCAAGTGGCCTTTGTTTTGTTCTCCTCGGGGACCACGGGGGTGGCCAAAGGGGTGATGATTACGCACAGGAATGTGTTGACACGTTTTGCACATGCCAAGTGAGTTGAATATTAATTTTTTCTATTTTTTTTATTTTTTTATATTTTTGTAATTTTTTTTTATTTTTTTTTTAAGTGATTCTAGACTGGTTTTGAGAGAAGAAGGACAGTCGGTCTTGGGATTGCTCCATTTTTACCACGCTTATGGCCTTTTTGTCTCCCTGTCTTGCATCCAAAAAGGGGTCAAAATCGTGGTTTTGCGAAAATTCGACGAAAATGTTTACCTCCAAACTATCGAAAAGTACCAAATTACTAGTCTTGCTCTGGTCCCCCCTTTGGCCCTTTTTCTCGCCAAATCACCCCTCGTTGCAAAATACGACCTGTCTAGTGTGCGGGAAGTGGGCTGTGGAGCTGCCCCTCTTGGTAAAAATATCGAAGAGTTGTTGAAGCAGAGGTGAACTTTTTTTGATATTTTTTTTCAAAAATTTTCGATCATTTCTTCGATTTGGTTAATTTTTTTTTTAATGAAAATTTTGTTGATTTTCTGTGTTTTTAAGTGTTTTGATTGAG